TGATTTTTCCCTTTATTTAGGTCTTTTTTTCCAGTGGTGTTTAATAATTTTCAGTGTCTGTGTCTCATCCCTGTTTTATTAAATTTATTCCTAAGTGTTTATTCTTTTTGTAATTGTAATGTATTTGTAATTGGAGTCTATTACAGAATTGTCCCTTAACTTCCTTTTCAGATTGCACATTACAACTATAGAAAGATACAATTCACTTCTGTACATTGACCTACTATGTAAGCCTTAGCTGTACTCGTTTATTAGCTCTTGCAGTTTGTGTGTGTGTGTGTGTGTGTGTGTGTGTGTGTGTGTGTGTGTGTGTGTGTGTGTGTGTGGTTTCTTCAGACCCCATTTCTAACTCAATCTCTGCTGTAGGTGATTTGAGAAAACTTATAATGTACTATGACTTAAAAGGAAACTTTTTTTCTTCATTTTCTAGGAGTTGTAGCTGTAGGGTACATCAATGAAGCCATTGATGAAAGGGATCCTTTGAAAACCTTAGATAGTCTACTGTTACCCACTGCTAGGATTAAAGATGTGGACCCAGACTCTGCCCAGCACTACCAGGATGTTTTATACCAGGCTAAAACACAGAAATTCATGGTAAGTCTTAGTAGGTGTGTTTCTTTCAAATTTACAGACGAGGTTGGGGACAGAGGGGCAAGAGGGAGGATTTTTTTTACCCATTTTTCCTAAAGCTCATAATTTGCTTATCTATGTATGGATCAGATTACAAGTTAATAGGGCTGTTATTTTCCTGGTGTCAAACATGAAGGGGAAACTAGCTCCAGAGCTGCTGACTGCTTGTACTCTTTCACTAAAAATGCACTTGTGGGTGAGTTCTTGTTCACAGTCCAAATTATTGGATATTTACTGAGCACACACTGTATTCATGGTGCAGTATATGGCATCTGGTAGGGGAAAGGGGGATCCGAGGAACACATGATACTGTTTGAATGTTCTGTCCTTATCCTCAAGATGCTTACAAAGTTACTAAGACAGTGGGCATTCTCATATAGAATGGTTAAATAGCAGTAGAGGTGGGTATGTGGCCAGATGTCAAAACGAGGAATGCCCAGAGTGATTCAGAGATGGTTGGGATTTCTGTGAACTGTAGCCCTAAGGTAGGTTGGTGTGGAGATAGAACAGGAGCTGCTCCTGAAGGGTAAGGAAGAGTTGGTTTGGCGAGTGGGAAGCAGGATGATGCAGGCAGGTAATGGCAGGGCTAGATGGGTACCAGCTTGGTTTGTTCTAGGCACAGGAGGAAACTGACCTGGCCAGGTCCCACTGAAGAGCAGAGGGCTTTATCTGGAGGCAGAGCTTGTACTGTTGTTGTGAGACATCCCACAGATACTAGCCACTATTGGAAGAACTTAGTGGAGAGGAAGACCTATCACCTGATGCTACCTGGGACGTAACCACTTGTGGCTTGAATGCCAGGCCAGTGACTGGGAGAATGAGACTCAAACCTGACCTCATGTCCCCAAACCCCTGGGGAGGCGAATGGACCCTGTCAGCAAGGAGGACTGGGCTGCCCCCTGCTGTTTCCACTGCTGTAGCTGTGGCTGTAGCACGTGACACAGCATTGAAAGCTAAAGGTAGTAGCTTTGGAGACAGGCACCATTCAAACCTTGGCTTTGCCACAAATTAGGTAGAGATTTTAGTCAAGTCACCAAAAGTCTTTGTGCTTCAGTTTTCACATGTGTAAAATGAGAATAATAGTACCTACCTTATAGGATTATGGTGAGGCTTAAATGATTACATAATATAATAAATGAGTAATATTTATATTTTTACATATTAACATATAGTTACATTGATTATAGTGTGTGTATGTATAAGTGTAGAGCATTTGACATGGAGCATGTCACCCCAAAAAAGTGCTGAAATAATGTAGCTAGTATTTTTGTGGGCACTTCTGGCTGCCACACAGTTCAGTGGGTGGTGAGTGATGTCTTTGTCACAAGGTCTTTACTCGACACAGGTTTACTTTACTCTGTTCACTAGTTGGGATCTTCTGGGTGCAGGATAGAGACAGACCTGGGTTTCTCTCTGCCAACAGCCACATGGGTGTTTGTCGTTAAGGTGAAACTAACTCCACAAACCTTTTATCGGCAAGCAGTGGAGGTCCCCTCCTGAGTATCCCAGTCTAAGGGCTCTAGGTCAAGATGGAATTCCACAGCACCTCTCCAGGGCACTCAGAAGCCTTACTGGTATCCATGCTGTGCCTCCTCTCTGTTGGCCATCCTTCCTAAGTGTGAAAGAAGTTTTTTAATAGTGTAATTAGAACAGGGAATATGAGCGTAGGGATCTGAGTTAGAGCTCAGGCATTAAACCACTTTTGGCCTATAAAATTAGGAGCGTGAACTACATTGACAATAATTAAGGGATTAAAAACATTGCAGTGAGCAATGAGTCTGGTTTGGTTAAGTTGCCGCTTTTAAACACACTTGTCTTTCTCTGCCCATTAATTTTGAAACTTTGTTTTCTCAGCCCATTCTCATTCCCTGGAAAAAAATCTGATTCTGTTATTTGGTGGGGTCTCTATTTGCTTTTTAACCTCTGCTGTTGTGATACCTGGAAATTTTCAGTTGTTTTTATGGGGCTGTTTCTGTGCTTTGCTTTCCAAAGGTCTAGCCTTGGAAAATAATAGAAGAAAATTACATTATTGGTATTGTCAGTATAAAGTAAAGCTTGTGCCAAAGTATACAGCCATTAAAAGTCACGATGGATAACATCTTAATAGAATGCTCAGTTTTATCAAAGATTGAGGACAGTGGTGTAAGTTGGTGAGAATTCTTGGTCCTCGTTAACAGTATTTCAAGTATAACCTTGTGTAGGCACCAAATTCCTTCCATCTCTTGAGGGGAAAGGCTGAGTAGCGGGCATGTTGGCATACACTTAACAGAGAACACACTTTCTGGGTGTATTCACTAGAGGCAGTGAATTGTCAGCTATGTTTAGTTTTGTTCTGTTTTGTTTTTTTAACATCTTTTTTGGAGTATAATTGCTTTACAATGTTGTGTTAGTCTCTGCTGTATAACAAAGTGAATCAGCTATACGTACACATATATCCCCATATCTCCTCCCTCTTGCGTCTCCCTCCCACCCTCCTTATCCCACCCCTCTACGTGGTCACAAAGCACTGAGCTGATCTCTCTGTGCTATGCGGCTGCTTCCCACTAGCTAGCTATTTTACATTTGGTAGTGTATATATGTCCATGCCTCTCTCTCACTTCGTCCCAGCTTACCTTTCCCCATTCCCATGTTCTCAAGTCCATTCTCTACATGTGAGCTATTTTTAAATTGAAGGCTTTGCTTTAGAATTTTGGAAGGTGTATGAATTATACACCCCCAAAGTTCTCTTTTCCTGCATGCATATTCACTGCATAAAAATTAAGTGGGCTTTTAACAAGTGAATAGTGTTGTATTTTTTCTGTAGGTAAAACTGTCTTACAGTTTATGACTTTGTTTGCAGAAAGTCAGTTTCTTCCATTGAAGTTTTGGGCATCCTGAAACTTACTTAATTAGTTTTTCTTGCTTTGCTTTAGTGTTTATTTTTACTCTTTACATAACCACACAGATACTGTAAATGGCCTTCATGTGCATTTTTGCATTTTTTAATCTGAGTCCAATGAAATAGGAAACTCTGCACACTCAAAAATAGGCATTTAACATGTTTTTTTATTGTTTTGATGGGCACTACAAAGTATATGGTCAATGCACTTTTCTACAGACTTGAAAATTCATCTCACAATCCTTCATGCCCTTAACCACTGATATTCCACCTTCTGTCTAATCTCTAAACTAAAGGAAATATAGTCATT